CGTTAAAGAATAATGTAGAATCTGCAAAACACTGCCTAATGTGGATGAACTTGGAGGACATTATGCTGAGTGAAATAAGTCAATCACAAAAAGACAAATATTGTATTAGTCCGTTATTGTAAAAGTCAAGGAAAGGTTTATCTATGGAAGGAAACTTTTTTGTTTGTTACCAGGGGTGGGAGGGGAGGGGAGGGAAAACTGTTAGATAGATAGCTATAAGTATTGATTTGGGTGAAGAGAGGGGCAATGTACCAAATATGAGTGATCAATATGGTGGCATTGAGGAAGAGAAAAACAGAGAGAGGTGCATGGGCGGTGCAGACAACAAAGATGAACCTTTTTGCACATATAGTACTGCGTTGTAGTGAAGGCAAACATGGATATACAGACGGACAGATGGGTGGACAGGCTGAACTATTAGGTATGTCTATGATGTGGGGAGTGTATCCAGGAACATGTATGGGGTTCACAGACAATGGCCTATAAGTTTATGTGAATGATCAGAATTCCCAGGTGTATAGTAGAGCTGACAAGGGGCAAGGTTGTAGTTACTGCTTGGTCACAGCCAGCTACCCAGAGGGACCAAGTAATGGAACCTGTGGGCTCGGGACCATAATCGCAGTGGACATCAAGCTGAATTGGCATAACATACTATACAAAACATTGTTCCACCTCCTACTTTGGCGAGTAATGACTGAGATATTGAAAGCTAGCAAGCTGCCATCTAGATGCAACGATGGGTCTCTCCTCATCCAGAGCAAAGAAGAATGAAGAAAAACAAAAACTCACGGAAAGAATTAGTCCTAGCAACTGGTACACCATCCGATCTGCAGCCTATACGACTATGAGACCAGAAGAACTAGATGGTGCCCAGCTACTACTGTCATCCACTTGGAAGGGGATCTATGTAGGAGATTCTTGGTAGAGAAGGAGAACATTGTGGAACAAAACTCAAAATCATTTGGAGAAAAAAAAGTGGGGGGGGACCAGTTTGCTAATCCAACAGAGCCTGGTGGAACCACTGAGACTATGGCCCCTAGATCCCCTTCAGGTCTGGAATTGAACCCACACTTATGGCTTCCAGCCAAACAAAAGACAGGTGTATGAGTTGAACATTTACTTGAGGTAGATACACTCCTTGGAGAGAACAATCATGGGAGAAAGAAGGGCTGCCTATGCACAGGGAGACAGCTCAGGGGGCAGGAGTGCATGGAGGGTGGATACAGGAAAGAGGTAAGTATCGGGAGGAAGTAGGAGGGGAGTTGTTGCATTGTGGTAATTTGTGGTCAATGTCATGAGACAAAGTGTAGGTGAACTGCTGTATGGAAAGTGAATTTGCTCTGTAAATCTTCACCCAAATCACAATAAAAAAATTTTAAAAAAGCACATTAGCACTAAAGTATGTCATTATTCACTGATCATACCTAAATATTCACTTTCACATATAAGTAGGAAGTCTAGAAGTAACTTTTAATAAAACTTTTATCAGTCAATTGAAATATAATGAAATACTATTATAATTAATGAATTTGAAAATTATTTTGTGTATACAACAAATGTTAAGACTTTCAAGTTGTTGAATATGGACATAGAATGTCAGTTTATACAGATTTTAAGAGAGGGTGCTTTGGTTAATTTTAGAAGAAAACATTATATACTTTTTGAACCAAAATATTTATAAAATTTTAAATAATAATACAAGACAGTTTAAAGACATATTGCAACATAAGCTTTGAAGGCATTTGGAGGTTTAGGTTGTTATAATAACTTTGATAACATTAAACAAAATTATTTTTAAAGATAAACTTTTAGAAAGTTAATTCTACTTAGGGCATGAGTCTTTAGAAAAGAAAAATCCCATTTGATAATTCTTCATATCTCGTGTGAATGTATTAAAAGCAGAACATCAACTCTACCACCTCCACTTTTCACAAGGAGGAAACACAGTGTCATCCATGATAAATCATCTTCAGCTCAGACATAATAAAGAAGAAAAGAAGTGTTAGAGAAAAAGGAGCTTCCAAAAAGCTCTTGTTCTCTCCTTCACTCACTGGTAAAAGAGCATCTGTTTAGAATTGCAAGTTTACAGTCTAGAGACAGCAGCCAGCAGAACTAAAACTTACTGCACCTGCTCTACAAAATGTCTAATTTTTAAAACCTTATTACTAAAACTTTGAATAATTTAAATAGCTTCAGCAAAATTTCCCACTTATTCTTACATCACATGGTTCATTCTGTAATTGTCAGTTTTGACCTCAGCTTCAGCTTCTACTGAATGATGATTTTATCATCCATTATCAGCCAAAATATGTATTTCATGCTCCCTTATTCAAGAATATTCTGACTGCTGCTTATTGTCTGCCTTGGGCAAACTATATCACCTCTCAGTGCTCAGATATCTGGCCTGAAGTACATGCACACTAATGTTAGCCTTTCCTATGTGCAGAGAGTAAGAAGGAGGTGGACCTGTAGCAGAACCCCAGTAGTCAAAAGAGGAGGAGTTGCTTGGCTTGAGGGTGAGTGGGATCCATTTTAGGTTACTGACACAGTGACTTACATGCCAGGGCTTCACAAACATTATTCTAGCTGTAGATAGAAAAAGATGTTGTACGGAGATAGACTATAAGCAGGCAGGCCAATGAGAGGACAGTAATTTAGATCCCTGGATTTAAAGATCCTTGCATTCACAAAAACCTTTCTATCTAACCAAAATTCCTTATACGGTCAATAAGCGTATTTTCTCTTGACAAAGCAAATTCCTTTGTATCTTCATCACACTTATTATTTCTTAGATTATGTCCTTTAAATTGACTTGAAAGCTTTTCTTAAGCCCTTTGTTTCTACAGAAAATACAAGTATATCACCAGAAAATCAAAACATTTCTTTAATGTACTTAGCCAAGCATTTGCAGGTGCCTATTTTATGTCTTTAAGAATGTTATGTTTTCCAGAAACATTATCTGCCTTATCATATGATAAATACTTTTGCATGATGATAACCTTTATTTGGACTATAAAGCAATTAACTTTTAATGTACAAGTTTTACGTCTATTTGTCTGAGATACCAATTTTTTATATACATCCAGGTGGCTTTTGAAAGAAATGCATGTAGATTGCAAAACTTCATCAAGCAAAAATGCAGTTCAAGCCGATGCAGGGATATGAATGCCTCTCCTCTGCATCACGCTGCAGCACAAGGTCAAGTGGAGCTGATGGAGATGATCCTCAGTGACTCCTGCTGTGATGGTATGAAAGTGTTGCAATGAGTACTCCACAAATCCATCATCCTATTAGATTTATTGGGTAGCATGGTATAAGGTGATTCTGAAGGGTGTATCAGTGCCAGATTATAAAGGGCTTCAATATCTCATTCAGGCGTCTGGGTTTCCTTACAGGCTAGTTCTTAATTTTTTCCATTGAAATATTGCAGAGTAGAGTGCCAAGGTATCTGAACACCGTGCATATGTTTCTGTACTTTTCTGTAATATTTCTGTTGATATGATTCTACACGTTAAATTACTTGTTGAATATAATTGATACTCCAAGAAGACATAGCATTCTTCTGCCGCGCCCCACCCCCGCCACCCCTCTTAGTAACCTTGTTCGAGAAACTCAGCTATAGGCAGTGGGAGAGATAGATACTCCAAGAATGTTTTATGCGGTGAGGTGGTATGATAACATTTTTTTATGTAATTCTATCAGTACTGAATAAAATGAAATTAGAAGTGGAAGACCAATTTAAAAATCTATAATGGTATTCTTGCAGTAAAGAGAAGATGAGAGTCCACCAGGGTTGTAACATTAGAATATGAAGAAAGGCAGTGATTCAAGAGATATTTTGTATGTAAAGTCAGCAGTGCTTGATAACAGACTGAATATGAGGAGTAAGTGGAAGAGATTTGAAACTGACTTTGAGGTTCCTAACTTAGGAAATTAAGCTAATAATACAACTATACTGAAAAGAAGGTATTTATAAAGCAAAAGAAAAGTAAACGTGATAGTGTGAGGAGACTGGTTATTCATTTGATTTTGATCATACTGAATTTAAGAGACCCAGGGGCTATCTACCTGGCAATATCCAGTTGTGGTGGTGGTTGTTAGGTGCCCTCAAGTTGGCTCCAACTCATAGCGACCCTATCTACAGCAGAACGAAATACTGCCTGGTCCTGTGCCAGACTCGCAATCCTTGCTATACCTGAATCCATCATTGCAGACACTGCATCAATCCATCTTGTTGAGGGCATTCCCCTTTTGTGCTGCTCCTCTACTTTACCAAGCATTCCTTCTCTGGAATTCTTCCTTCTGACAACGTGCCCAAAGTAGGTTAGATGAAATCTGGTCATTCTCGCCTCCAAGAAGCATTCTGGCTACACTTCTTCCAGGACAGATTTGTTAGTTCTTCTGGAAGTCCATGGTACTTTCAGTATTCTTCGCCAGCACCACAACTCAGAAGCATCAACTCTTCAGTCTTCTTTATTCATTGTCCAGGTCACATGTGCATATGAGGCAATTGAAAATACCATGGCTTGGGTTAGGTGCACCTTAGTCTTCAAAGAGACATCTTTACTTTTCAGCACTTTAAAGAGGTCTTTCACAGCAGATTTTCCCCGTACAATATGCTATCTGATTTATTGACTGCTGCTTCCATTGATGTTGATTGTGGAACCAAGTAATATGATATCTTGAACAGCTTCATTCTATTCTCTGTTTATCATGATGCTGCTTACTGGTCCACTTGTGAGGATTTTTATTTTCTTTTTGTTGAGGTATAATCCATATGGCAGTCTTTAATCTTCATCAATATCCAGTAGACAAATAGAAATATGAAAAAGAAAGGTACCACCCTTACAGAACAACTGTTACAGAAAGTAGATGAAGTTATGGGAATGCATGAAAAACCTTAAAGAGAACAAAAAATTGCTAACAAATGTATTTAAGAATGGAGTACCAACATTAAAGGACACATGGCATAGAAAAGTCCAGCAAAGGGATGGTGAAGAAGTCATCAAAGAAGAGGGTGATAGATAATAGGTTGAGGCTATAGAGACCAACACAGAAGTAATTGTAATAGATGAGTTAGAAAAATCAGTTGCTGCAAAGAGATGAAGAAGGTCACCATACCCATAAAAAAAAAAATTCCTGTCAACTCAGTTGGCATTCATAAAGACCCTGTAGGACCAAGTAGAATTGCTCCATGGGGTTGCCAAGGCTGTAATTTTTATGAAAGCAGACTGCCTCATCTATCTCTCACAAAGTAGATGGTGAGTTTGAATAGCTGACTTTTTAGTTGACAGCCAAGCACTTAACCACTGTACCACCAGAGATCCTAAGGATCACCATATAGGCCTTATACTAAAAGTCTTCAAAAATGATTTTTTTGCAGAAATGATTCCTGAAAAGTGATAGAGATAAAAGCAAAATTCTAGTTAATTAATTAGTGAATAAGCCCTTATTTAATTAAGTTTGGTGCAAAATGAAATGTTAAATGGAGTGTTTTGTTATGATTAGAAAGAGTGGTCAAGGAATTATATATGTGTGTCTGATGTTATTGTTGAAAACAAGAAACTTGGTTGGATGAAAGGACATGGTAGAGAAATAAATTAAAAATGAGAGACATGGGAAACATCATTGATATGCTATATGGTCCTCATATTATATTTGAGTGTATTAATTTTCCCCTTCTCTAGGCACACAATTATACCAACACTAATTACTAAAGTTGAAAAAGTATACAACAAAGTTGTATCTATTTCAGAATAGATATGTGACACTAAGGATAAAAAGGCACATTCTTAATGCTGAGCTCACAGGGTCAATAGTGCAATATACTGTGTTTTAGAAATATGTGGGGACCATATGTGGTATGAGGTGGCTCAAGCTCAAATGTTAATTTTGTGATTTATTAGCTATGTATCTTTTTTTTCATTAATATTTGAGCCATTGCTATGGGCCAGCCATTCTGCTATTAATTAATTATTAATATTATTTAATATTAATTTCCAAAAAACCTTCAAAGTTCTGAGAAAACTGAAGATCAAAGAAGTAAGGTAACTTGCAGAATTCCTTACTAGCTGTGTGAACTTGGTAGGCTTTTAAAGCTCTCTGAGCCCCACCTTTTTATCTGAAAAACAGTCCTGGTACCTTGCAGGGCTCTTGGGAGGGTTGAATAATTGTCATCTGAACACTAGTAAAATGCCTGGCATATGGTTAATGCTTTTATATAATCTCAATACCATAAAACAAACACAAAATTCTTATTGAAGATAAAAACCTGTAGCAATGGGAGGATCTGTGTTTTAAATGCTATAGGTAGACAGTCACCTGAATTTTTGACAAGGTCAGTGCCATATGTTTATCCATCCCCTGCAGGTGCCCAGTATGTTTCTTGAGAAACAAACTGTATTTTTCCTTTTAATAGAGAAGACATAACTGGAACTAATTGAGAGATTTAGCATGGTGGCAGAATATAAGATCAACATCCAAAAATCAGTTGGATTCCTCTACACCAGCAAAGAGACTGCTGAAGAAGGAATAAGGAATTCAATACCATTCACAATAGCTACCAAAAAAATAAAATACTTGGGAATAAATCTTACCAGGGACACAAAAGACCT